GGATATTCTGAAGGTCTTTAAGAGTGTGCAGCGTTTTCCTTTTATTATCCAAACATTTCATTTTGTTGTTGTAGACGGTTCCCGCAAATAATTCGCGAAATTGCAGGCACTGCTTCTTGGTCTGGCAAGCAACCAGCAACTGAAGCCATTTACGTTATGTTTAAATGGAGTTTGCGACAGGTGATAACAGATCCTTATGCAAAAAAAAAGAAAAATTCAGAATTGAAGAACTTTCATAAATTATGTATTGTACTAACACAGGGGTTAATTTTTTTCTATAAGTTGTTACCAACTTCAGAACGAGGGCGTTTGTAGTGTCGCGTTAGAGCGATTTTTGATAAGAAGTGAGCTTTACTTATAAATGCAACTTGTAATTACAGGAGTTCAGTTGCAGTACTGGAAACCTGCCTTCGCGGAGTTGATGCCTGTTCTCTGTCACTGAGGGACAACTCGCTGGATCACGAGCTACTACCGGTGGTTTTAGCAATTTCGCAAATGCAGCATCTTACGAAGCTGGACCTAAGTGGACCGAATTTCCTGAACGTGAAGCGGGGCACCAAAAATGTGACAGTTGTTTCGAATATACTCCTCGAAATTGTGAAGCTTGTTGGCGAAGAAGAATCGGTAAATTCGACGAAGATTTCACATAGCATGGTACCATGAAATTCTTTTTTATGTGGTGTTTCTCGAGAAAATTTTAAAATTTTCTCACTATTCAGAGTTAAAAGTCTGTTACATTCTGAGAAATAGAACGTCCTTTTCTGTGTGCCATTTACATGAAGTCCGTTTTTCAGAGGTTGAACGAGTTATCGCTAGCGGATTGTCGATTAGGATCGCATTTGAGCATTTTGCTGAACACGCTTGGTGTTGCATCTTCGTTGCAGTATCTGGACATAAGTGGTAATTTCTCAAAAAATTTCTCCGCTTTCAAACCGCTGAAGTTCGTTTCCGGGGAAAGTAAATTTTTACCACAAAAATAATCACTTGTGTAAGCGCACAATATTTTTTCATAATCCAAAACTGTATAAACGCTGGTCCTGGCAGAATTGCCGCGAAAAAAAATATTATTTTGATTATTTGAGCAATGCAAATGTTATTTTAAAGTTCATTTCAGGTAATGAAATGGGTAATTTTGGTGCACGTCTACTTGCAAAAGCACTGCAGATCAATACTTCACTAAAAACTGTTCTGGTCGATAGAAATCAAATCACCGGCGATGGATATGCTGATATCGCGCATTCTCTAAAGCTGTTAGTTTGATTTTGTGGACTGTAAAATCAGCCTATTCGATATCCATTGTACTCTACAGGCGTCCATCAGTTTCGCAAGTACAGTAATACACGGAACTGATTGGATTTCTTGAATGTAAAAAGAACACGAAAAGTGCGACAGTTGTTTCGAATGCACCCTGCAGACTGTGGAAGTGAGCTTTGATGAAGGTTCTGGAATATGGTAATTTGTGATTGTCGAAGTGGAAAAACGGCTAGTTATATATTGGTGAATGAATGCGTTTTTCCACTGATCGATTGCAGTGAATTTTAACTTCTGGTTCTCTAAACAAGCTGTTAAAACGAAGTTGAACAGACAGAAGACAGAAAGTCCATTAGATCTCACTTTTGCAAAAATTTTATAAAAGTGAGTTGTTGAAATTTATGAGATTTGTCTCTGTGAAAATATAGCATATGTAAGAAAACCGCGTTTCAGTAACTCAACTCTTACGTCATTTCCTTTTCCTGCGATGGATGTGGCCGAATCGCTGAACCGATCGGATCGTGCAAAAACACTCAACGCGCTCACCGAAGTAAATCTGATTTCTGTTTTTTTAGGGGTAGTTTATTTGAATAAATTTACCTGAAACACGATAGGTTGAATAGCAAGAAAATACGCCTCAGAAAAGATCAGCTTCTATTTATATTGTAAACTATAAGTGTAGTGCAATCGGAGTTTTTATGCGTTTTTTGCAGCTATGCAATGCAGAAAACGCATATTGACGAGAGGTTGTCTGT